ATAACTGGTTTTTTAATTTATTAAAGCCATTCCACTAGCCTTTGGTTGTAGAACTAATTTTATAAATTAATACAACCTTTCAACCATTTAACCTCATTTTTACATACATTTTTGAGGTCGTTTGCCATTTCAAATAATTACCTCAAACGGTATACTTTTTACCGGCCATAACCTCATAAATTCCATTTAAGCTGTCTCAGGGGTACTTTCATCTTTTATCTTCAAAGAAGAGCCTCAAAATATTATTTCCCATTTTTTGAAATTTTCTTGGAATTCTCTGTATACTCTTCCATTTTTACCCCTGTGAATCATAATTTTCTGAATTTACAGTTTAGTGCCTGGTTGGACTTAACTTCATACAATCCTCTCCTTGAGATTTCTAACTTAACCCTTGGCCTATTTCTACTATTTTTCTCTTTCTGGCCCCTTAAGACTTTATTGGAGCCTCTGGCCTTGATTATACTTGAGCCCCTGAAAACTTTTACTTTGCAGTTTAGTCCCTGAATCTGCTTTGACTTCCTTTCTCATTTTTGGGACTTCTGCTCAAAAAGGGTCTAGTAGCCTATCCAATTCAGTCTATTTCTGGTACTTCTAGGCCCAAAAGTTGGGATGTTACACTAAAACTTTGAAAATCTTTTTCAAGCGATTAATCCAGTGCTCTGCTGCTTGGACGTTAAACACTCTGTCAAAGGATGGCAGATTGTGCTTGCAAAAACGAGTCATCTACTTCTGGATGTTGTCAAGGTCTACTGCTGGCATTACCAGTCTAGGCAGTTGTTCTGATGCCTAAGCTACGGAAATTTCTTCTTTTGGCTGCCTCCTATCGAGGTTAGCCATTGCCATTGCTACTACTGCAACTATTGCGGTGTCCCTCTCTTGTTCCTAGTGAGCGTGTGTTGCCCTCATATCCTTGATGGTCTTTTGCTGTTGCTCAAGACGATCCAGAATTAACTGTAGTGGATTAGGAGGGACCCTTGCATCCTAAACTAGGGGTCTCTTTGGCGAAGGGTTTCATCGAGTTCTAACCATCATTTTTAACTAAACAGATAGCATAGCAAAGGAACAAGAAGTAAACATCATGCTTAGATTTCATTTAACAAAATATTTAGCATACAAACACTTAGGCATAAACCAAAGTAGCAAGTTCTAAACATATATATATGAAAGCAAACAATATAATAACCAAGTATTGCCAGCCTAACCTACTACGGTTAGCTGTAACAAAACAAGCCCTACATTAGTATTTCAAGGATCCGACCATCTAAAAATAGTAAATTTTAACAAATTTTCAAGGCGCTAGATGTAATCCTCAACACCAAATCCCATTATCTGATCCATGCGACAGAACTCATATACCCGGTCCTCGGTGTTTAGATAAGGGTTACCTGGTCCATAAGTCTGATATAACACATTTACTCCCTGAAAGTAATCTAGGTAAATGCTCGGATCTTACTAATCCTCATCTTTCTTGATATGACAACCCAAGAATTCCAACTTCTCTCTCAGCTGATCCTGACCACGGATCTTAGGCTCCGTCAAAATAGGGATAGGTATTATAGGTGTCAGGGGTACCACTGGCCTGGTACTAGGTCTAAGGATGTCGCTTGGGTAACACTTGGGGTAACAAGCTGTCTGCGAGACTAAATGTAAAGACTAAGATCTATTGGTTCCTGATATAAATCAGTTACAGGATCCACTAGGTCACCGGGTCCAAGAAGGTTCATCAAATCCTCAGTAGTAACCCCTAAGAGGTTAGCCCAATGCTCTGGATAATTATTGGACCCATTTATTGAGTATCCTGGGCTAGTAGTCCCCATAGTCCATCCCATCAAATCCTCTTTTCTGAGATCAATTATGTTAACATCCCAATCATTGACCAACTTCTTAGATCTAGCATCCTAATCCATTGTGTTTTCCATCTCAATTCCTGCAAAGGTTTGTCAGTTCCTCCTTAACCAACCCTGATATCTAACGCATAAACTTAAGTAGAGCGTTCTATCTTATGCCAAAACTTCTTTGATACCAAAAATATTACACCTTACTATCGGATTGACTTAAGGTTCAAACAAAACCCTTTTAGACCATATTAGATGGTCTTGGGCTAAAAATTTTCACAAAAACACTGATTTTGGCATTTTTACTGTTTATTTGGTAAAAATTTAGTTTTCTTGTCTAATTCAAAAAACCATAACTGAATCTATACAAATCAAAATGGTGTGGTTCCAAATTCTATGAAAATATCTTTGAATTTCCTTTCAAGAAAAAATAAACTTGTGAACCAATTCCATTTGAGAAAGTGCTAGGTTTTTATGGAAGTCACCACTATCCTTTTGGTAAAAATACTTTTTCAAAAATTCTGAATCTTAACTTTGAAAAATCATTATAAATCGTGCAGTTGGCCATTTTTAATGTGCTATATATCAAATTGAATCTTAGGACATGATTCATACCAAATTTTGTGATTTAATACGTTCAGGAACCTAGTCAAAACATCACTCCCAAGTTGGCGGTGTAGTTAGGGTTACAACACTAAACAATAGAATAATTACATAACAAAAAGCCAATGAAATTTTTATGGTTTGGCACCATAATTAACCTTGAATATGTAGCTTGCCCTTTGATGATTTAGCTTGTGACAACCGCCATTTCAAAACCATTTAAAATTAAATCCAACAATTTATTTGAATGATTAACCATGATAGAAAAGAAGAAACCTTAAAATTTTAAAATCACTATCATGATTAAAAGAAATAAACTTATAATAATTAATAAGAGTAACATCGATCGTTATCTTGGGCCTTAGACTTCCAAAGTCCAGAAATATCATTCAACCATTAGCCCAAACCAAACTTATATTTTCAACCATACGAACTGATAAATCAGTTTAATATAAACTATAGAGCTCATTAGTCAAAAGTCAACACTTTCAAAGGAGCGTTACATGCAGAGTCTAAAATGCCTCGGGCCTCCTCACGCCCTATCATACCAGATAGTAGTAATTAAAAGTATTATTTTACATCATGATAGTAGATGAGCCCTATGTGGCAACATATAACAAGTCAGCACATAGAACAAAAGCAGGGAGGCTATACAAGCTATAACAGCACACTATGCCTCCGGAGCCTTCCCTGATGGGCCACCACCTGAACTATCGCCTGAAAATGTTAAACCACGGGGTGAGACAAATGCCTCAGTAACCAGCTTTCCAACTCATCATACATACTAACACGTGCTCGTGAGGTGTCAAGTGGGACAGTTATTAATTCTCGAGAACTATAGATATATAATTTCAATCATCCAAACCCTCACTATGGGGGCCAACACACAAGCCACATAAGTCTATCCCTCACTCTGGGGGATCAATCAAACATATGGGCCTATCTCTCACTCTGGGGGACGAATAAGAAGCCACAAAGGCCTATCCCTCACTATGGGGGACAAAAGAAGAAGCCAACCAATGTGCACCAATGGCGGCCTTACCACGTGGTAGGATAAGACTCAATCCAAAATCCAAATAACAACCAATCATTCACAATATAATAAAAATGTCTCAATCTTTTCTCAGTATAATCCATAAGATATAAATCATATATCTTTTCCAAATTTCTCAATCACCATTCCAAAAATCCCACAAGACAATTTTCATAGCTCAAAAGATATAACATATCTACTCAAGTTCCAAATATCAAATATTATTCTAAAAATAGCAAAATACTCACAAACAACATATTAGCACATATAACAAGTGGAAAGTGGTTACCTCTCGCCAAAGCAATACTTAGGATTACCACAAGGTTAATCCTTTGCTCAACCAATAATTAATCTACACAATTAATATAACCACATATTAATATAAATTAATTTATTAAACTTCTCTATATTATTTAAATTTCTAACAACCCCAAATTATTTATTTACCACCTCTAAATTATTTATCTTAATAAAAAGGATTTTCAACAATTTCCAAATATAAAATTATTATGTTATAAATTCTAAAAACTCTCTTTTTCAGTTTAAAACTCAAAATCAAACTCTCAAAAATTTAATAATACTTCAAATATTTATAACTAAATAATCTAATTAAAACTTTAATGGTACAACTAACATATATATATATATATATATTTTTTCCATAAATAATAGACTTTTTAGCTACAATAATTATTTTAAAACCTCCAGTCACCCAATAAATAAAACTAAACCGATTAAAATCTTAATAATATATCAAACAATCCAAATAAATTATTTAACTTAAATTTAATCGGTAAAAATATGGTATATCTCATACATAACAGATTTTCCACTAAATAAATTAATTTAAATACTAAAACTAGCAAATAGAGAAATCTAAACCAATTAAAATTAACAACTTATTTACTTCTAAATTCTATAGTCATCTTTTGTCAAAACTCAATACTTATATCATATATAAGTCTCAAAATTTTCTCTAATCACTAAGGTAATACTACTATTATGAAGCATAAAATATATATATGAAATATTTATGAAGAAAGTTTGATGAAAAGAGATAATTTCATGTACCTAAAATATCTTCAAAGCTTGCTCTCTGCTTCACCGGTATGCTCCTCTCTCTCACACACTTCAGCTCTCTCTTCCTCTCTTTTCTTCTTCTCTTTCTCTCTTTCTTCTTGCGCTTGCCGGAGGGAAAAATGGATTGTGGGGGGTATTTAACACCCCCACATAATTATTGGGGGAGGGGGTTTTTTTAAAACCCAACCCCCACGTTTTCCACCCTCCCCCCAATTTTCCACACCCCCTCCAACTTTCCACCGAAATATCGGTGGAAAGTTGGACTTTTATTTTTTTTAAATATTAAAATATTATTATATTATATTATATTATATTATTTTTCAATTATTTTTTTTTTGAAATTTTTTTTATTAGGATATTACAATTCTCCCCACCTAATAAGAATTTTGTCCTCAAAATTCAAACAACCACACACAAGAAATAAAGACAAAAGCAACTCAAAGTGCTTACTAAGAAAACAGGTAAGGGTACTCATAATGCATCCGTTCCTCTGTCTCCCAAGTAGCATCACCAGGACTCATGCCCTTCCAAAAGACTTTAACAAGATGGATAGTTTTGTTCCTTAATTGTTTATCCTTAACGTCCAAAATCCGCTCTGGTTCTGTTGGATAGGTCAAATTATCTCGCAATTCCACCTCTTCAGGCTCAATAACATGAGACGGATCGGGATGATACTTTTTCAACTGTGACACGTGGAACACGTCGTGTAAACTGGAAAGATGTGGCAGCAGCGCAATTCGATATGCAACAGGTCCAATCCGCTCCAAAATCTCATAAGGACCCATAAATCGGGGTGTAAGCTTCTTGGCTTTAATGGATCTACCAACACCAGTGACAGGTGAAACCTTTAGAAATACATGATCACCCATTTCAAATTCTAAAGGTCTCCTTCGACAATCCGCATAACTCTTCTGTTGACTTTGGGCCATCAACAACTTCTGCTTGATCAGCTCAATCTTTCTGGTTGTGATGTCCACTAAATCTGGGCCAATAATTGTTCTTTCACTTAATTCAGTCCAACAAAGTGGAGATCTACACTTCCTCCAGTGCAAAGCCTCATATGGTGCCATCTGAATACTAGCGTGATAGCTGTTGTTATAGGCAAACTCAGCTAATGACAAGTGAGTGTCCCAACTACCCTTTAGCTCTATAGCGCAGGCCCTCAACATGTCCTCGAGAGTCTGAATCGTCCTCTCAGTTTGTCCATCAGTCTGAGGATGATAAGCAGTACTAAACTTGAGCTTAGTGCCCATGGCTTCATGTAATGACTGCCAGAAGTTCGATGTAAACCTTGGGTCCCTATCTGAAATGATAGACTCTGGCACTCCATGAAGTCGAACAATCTCATCTATATACAGCTTTGTCAATCGTTCTAAAGAGTAAGTACTCTTGATAGGCAGGAAGTGCGCTGACTTAGTCAATCTATCTACAATTACCCATATCGCATCATAGCCAGCCGAGGTTCTTGGCATACCAGTAATGAAATCCATGGAAATACTGTCCCATTTCCATTGGGGAATATCAAGATTCTTTAATAGTCTTGGAGGTCTCTGATGTTCTATCTTGACCTTTTGACATGTCAAACACTTCATTACAAAATTTGTGACATCCCTCTTCATTTTTGGCCACCAGTAGTTCTCTTTCAAGTCTTGGTACATCTTGGTTATCCCTGGGTGTATTGTGTAATTACTTCGATGCGCCTCTTCTAGAATAGTCCTTTTGATTTCCTCATTATTAGGGACACAAATCCTCTTCTTGTACCTCAGGATTCCTTCTTCACCAATTTCATAATCAGGCATACCATGGGTCTCCACTTCGTCTCGGATGCTTAGTAACCGGTCATCCTCCATCTGTGCAGCCTTCAAGTCTCGAAAGAACTCATAATCACCCAAAATTGATTGTAGAGTGGCTGGAGCCTCATGCACTACTTGGAGATCTCTCAATCTCTCTAAGCAGTAGTGTTCCTCCAAACTCATGTGAAACACATGCACCGTTTTCCTACTCAAAGCGTCTGCAACCACATTGGCTTTACCCGGATGATACTTAAGCTCAAAGTCATAGTCCTTGATGAATTCCATCCACCAGCGTTGTCTATTATTCAATTCCTTCTGATCTATTAAATACTTTAGGCTCTTGTGATCGCTGAAGACTTCAAACTGTGATCCATATAAGTAGTGCCTCCAGATCTTCAATGCAAAAACCACCGCCGCTAATTCCAGGTCATGTGTAGGATAATTTTCCTCATGTGGCCTTAATTGCCTAGATGCATAGGCAACCACCTTTCCTTCCTGCATCAGGACACACCCTAAACCCTTAAGTGAAGCATCAGTGTAAAGGGTGTACGATTTACTAGGATCTGGAATAGTCAACACTGGAGCCGTGGTCAACTTAGCCTTTAGTTCTTGGAAAGCCGCCTCACACTTTTCACTCCAGATAAATGGTTGGTCTTTCTTGGTCAACTTAGTTAGAGGCATGGCGATCTGAGAAAATCCCTTGATGAATCTTCGGTAATACCCAGCTAAGCCCACAAAACTTCGTACCTCCGTCACAGATTTTGGTGTCTCCCATTTCAATACAGCATCGACCTTGCTAGGATCAACAACTACTCCATTTGCAGATACTACATGGCCTAAGAACTTCACTTCTCTAAGCCAGAACTCGCACTTGCTTAACTTAGCATATAACTGATGATCCCTCAATATTCGCAATGCAATGTAAAGATGCTCTCGGTGTTCTTCCTCATTCTTAGAGTATATCAGGATATCATCTATAAACACCACAATAAACTTGTCCAAGTACGGCCTAAAGATCCGGTTCATATAGTCCATAAACACCGCTGGAGCATTCGTCAAACCAAAAGGCATTACTAGGAACTCGTAATGTCCGTATCTGGTACGAAAGGCCGTCTTTGGGATGTCCTCTGCTCTAACTCTTAATTGATGATATCCCGACCTTAAGTCAATCTTGGAAAACACCGCTGACCCCATTAATTGATCTAGCAAGTCATCAATCCTAGGCAAAGGATATTTGTTCTTGATAGTCACTTTGTTCAACTGCCTGTAATCTATACACAATCTCAAGCTCCCATCCTTCTTCCTCACAAACAGTACTGGTGATCCCCACGGTGAGACACTTGGTCTAATAAATCCTTTTTCAAGTAACTCTTCGATTTGCTTTTTTAGCTCTGCCAATTCAGAAGGTGACATTCTGTACGGTGCTTTAGAAATTGGAGCTGTCCTTGGTACTAGCTCAATGGAGAATTCAACTTCCTTTTCAGGAGGTAAACCGGATATTTCCTCAGGAAATACCTCAGGAAACTCCTTTACTACCTCGATTTGGTCTATACCAACTTCTTTATCCGTACTAACAGAAAAGAAAACAGCATACGCTTGACAACCCTTCTGAATACACTTAGTTGCTTGAGTAGCAGACAACCACAAACAACCATTAATAGCCTCAACTATCGTAGCGCACAAAGGAAGAGTTACTATCTTCCTTTTGCAATCCAGAATGGCATTATTTGCCGATAGCCAATCCATACCAATAATCACGTCAATACCCTTGAAGGGTAGACAAATCAAATCAATCACAGACTCACGATTCTCAAATTTAAGCACAAGACTTAAACACGCTTGTGTGGTTAACACAGTGGCTCCCGCTGGAGTTGACACTTTCAACATGTAAGACAAATCATGCATTGGAAATTTAAACTTTTGAGCACATTCTGCAGCAATAAAAGAATGAGTGGCACCAGAATCAAACAACACAGGTATATCATGTCCTTGAAGAGAGACAGTACCTCTAATCAGATTAGGAGACATGCCAGCTTCCTCTCTAGTCAAAGCAAAAACTCTCCCTGGCACCGTGGATCTGAAACTAGGAGTTTACTGCTGCATCTCTGGACAATTGCGAGCTATATGTCCGAACTTATGGCATCGATAGCATTCCCAACACTGTCCTGGGTGATTTCTCCCACATCTCATGCAAGGACCACTAACACTTGGGGTGGATCTGGTAGGCTCATGGTAGACACTCCGATCTCCCCCTATACGGCTCCCCTGAGCCCGTCTCCTTTGCATAAAGCCTCCACGGGCTGAATTCTTCTGATTCTAGCTCTTGCCTTTGCTTGAGTTACCTAAGCTCCCATAACTGTAGTTATTCTTTTTATTGATTCCTCCCATTGGCCTCATAAAACCGGAGAATCTGCCCTGGATATCCCGACGTCGGCTCTCCTCTACCTCTCGGATTCTGCGAGCTGTCATCCTGAGTTTCGTGCAAGCATCCTCGAAACTCTTAAACTCATATAAGGCCATTTGCTGCTTCAACTCTGGCCTCGCCCGTTCTATCAATTGTCGGGCCATCCATTCTGGATCATTATTCTGCTGTAAGTATGTAACATGCTTGGAGAGGTCAATATACTTGGCAATAAACTCATCCTCATGCATGTTCTCCTGTCGAAGAGCATAAAAAGCTGTTTCTTTTTCTTGTCTCATGGCTGGGGGAAAGTAGTGATCAAAGAACATTTGTTTGAATTCGTTCCAAGTAATCCCCGAGTCATCTATGCTGCTTACACTCCTCCACTACCTCTTAGCTCGGTCCCTCAGTAAAACTACTGCTGCTTGTACCTTTTGGTAGGTATTACAGCCACAAGCTTTAAATATTGTCTCCATGTCATCTATCCAAGCCTCAGCTTTGTCAGGATCCATGCCCCCATCAAACGTCTTTGGGTGATGCCGCTCTATGTCCTTCTATACGCTTTTAAGGTTCACCGCTTCTTCTTTTCCTGGTCGCCTTTGTGAACTACTCTCTTCTCTAGTTCTTTCAATAGAACCCCTGTGGGTGACAGAATTTCTCCCTTCAAACTCTTCCACAGCTTTCTTGACTCTCAAATCTTCCTCTATCTTTCTTACTCTTTCATCTACCACCGTAACTACCACTTCCCTTAACTGTTGCAGTAAAGTCTCTTGGTTAAACTGCAGAGGATTCGGTGGTTGATTAGGTGGGTTTGTGGATTCATCCCCACCTTGATCAGTTTGTCAGGATCGTGTCCGTACCATCCTCCCCACCTAAGGATGGAACCCACCAAAAGAAACACAAAGTAAGGACAAACACAGACATAAAGTAACAGGGAAGGTTATGTGAGATTATTATATATTGCCACTAAATGCAATGTAATGCAACTCAGTTCGCAGAATCTTTAGCTCTAATACCAAATTGTGACAACCGCCCTTTCAAAACCATTTAAGATTAAATCCAACAATTTATTTGAATGATTAACCATGATAGAAAAGAAGAAACCTTAAAATTTTAAAATCACTATCATGGTTAAAAGAAATAAACTTATAATAATAAGAGTAACATCGATCGTTATCTTGGGCCTTAGACTTCCAAAGTCCAGAAATATCATTCAACCATTAGCCCAAACCAAACTTATATTTTCAACCATACGAACTGATAAATCAGTTTAATATAAACTATAGAGCTCATTAGTCAAAAGTCAACACTTTCAAAGGAGCGTTACATGCAGAGTCTAAAATGCCTCGGGCCTCCTCACGCCCTATCATACCAGATAGTAGTAATTAAAAGTATTATTTTACATCATGATAGTAGATGAGCCCTATGTGGCAATATATAACAAGTCAGCACATAGAACAAAAGCAGGGAGGCTATACAAGCTATAACAGCACACTATGCCTCCGGAGCCTTCCCTGATGGGCCACCACCTGAACTATCGCCTGAAAATGTTAAACCACGGGGTGAGACAAATGCCTCAGTAACCAGCTTTCCAACTCATCATACATACTAACACGTGCTCGTGAGGTGTCAAGTGGGACAGTTATTAATTCTCGAGAACTATAGATATATAATTTCAATCATCCAAACCCTCACTATGGGGGCCAACACACAAGCCACATAAGTCTATCCCTCACTCTGGGGGATCAATCAAACATATGGGCCTATCTCTCACTCTGTGGGACGAATAAGAAGCCACAAAGGCCTATCCCTCACTATGGGGGACGAAAGAAGAAACCAACCAATGTGCACCAATGGCGGCCTTACCACGTGGTAGGATAGGACTCAATCCAAAATCCAAATAACAACCAATCATTCACAATATAATAAAAATGTCTCAATCTTTTCTCAGTATAATCCATAAGATATAAATCATATATCTTTTCCAAATTTCTCAATCACCATTCCAAAAATCCCACAAGACAATTTTCATAGCTCAAAAGATATAACATATCTACTCAAGTTCCAAATATCAAATATTATTCTAAAAATAGCAAAATACTCACAAACAACATATTAGCACATATAACAAGTGGAAAGTGGTTACCTCTCGCCAAAGCAATACTTAGGATTACCACAAGGTCAATCCTTTACTCAACCAATAATTAATCTACACAATTAATATAACCACATATTAATATAAATTAATTTATTAAACTTCTCTATATTATTTAAATTTCTAACAACCCCAAATTGTTTATTTACCACCTCCAAATTATTTATCTTAATAAAAAGGATTTTCAACAATTTCCAAATATAAAATTATTATGTTATAAATTCTAAAAACTCTCTTTTTCAGTTTAAAACTCAAAATCAAACTCTCAAAAATTTAATAATACTTCAAATATTTATAACTAAATAATCTAATTAAAACTTTAATGGTACAACTAACATATATATATATATATATATATTTTTCCATAAATAATAGACTTTTTTAGCTACAATAATTATTTTAAAACCTCCAGTCACCCAATAAATAAAACTAAACCGATTAAAATCTTAATAATATATCAAACAATCCAAATAAATTATTTAACTTAAATTTAATCGGTAAAAATATGGTATATCTCATACATAACAGATTTTCCACTAAATAAATTAATTTAAATACTAAAACTAGCAAATAGAGAAATCTAAACCAATTAAAATTAACAACTCATTTACTTCTAAATTTCTATAGTCATCTTTTGTCAAAACTCAATACTTATATCATATATAAGTCTCAAAATTTTCTCTAATCACTAGAGTAATACTACTATTATGAAGCATAAAATATATATATATGAAATATTTATGAAGAAAGTTTGATGAAAAGAGATAATTTCATGTACCTAAAATATCTTCAAAGCTTGCCCTCTGCTTCACCGGTATGCTCCTCTCTCTCACACACTTCAGCTCTCTCTTCCTCTCTTTTCTTCTTCTCTTTCTCTCTTTCTTCTTGCGCTTGCCGGAGGGAAAAATGGATTGTGGGGGGTATTTAACACCCCCACACAATTATTGGGGGAGGGGGTTTTTTTCAAACCCAACCCCCACGTTTTCCACCCTCCCCCCAATTTTTCCACACCCCCTCCAACTTTCCACCGAAATATCGGTGGAAAGTTGGACTTTTATTTTTTTTAATAAATATTAAAATATTATTATATTATATTATATTATATTATATTATTTTTCAATTATTTTTTTTTTTGAAAATTTTTTTTATTAGGATATTACATAGCTCCTAAAAGGTTAGATTTTATTTGGAAGGAATGAGATTTCAATGAAATCCTAATAGCAAATTAACCAACTATATCATCAATAAGCATCATTATTTTGCATAACCATATTAGCTATTATTGGTGAACTAGCATTCTCATAATTTGGAAATCTCAATCATGCAAAGGCCAAAGCAATAAAGTTCAAAGATCATCCGTATCACAATTAGCAAAGCTCATCCACATAATAGCAATTAATCATACAATAATCAACAATGCAAAGTTAATGTTAGTAGTTAGGTTATACTTTACTACCATGCTCCAAAGACGTGGGTTTTCTTTGTGTTTCTTCTTTCCCCTTCACAAATATCAAACCCTAACATAATAAACCACAAAAAAGGCAGTAAGATCATCAACAATTCCATATAAAAATTAATCACATAACTCAAGAAATTCTTAAACCCTGTTAAAGCTTCCATCTTTGTTCTTGAATTTTTAGAGTTTGTTTCTTTAACCCTAAAAATTTTCTCTTGACTCATTCCTTCATGGTTTTTCATGTAGATTTCAAATATGTACTTAGATTTAAGAAAACAAAACCCCTCCTTCCAGATTCTGTCATATCCAGTAATATGGCATTTAGGAATAGGGATATTCCTAAATAATTAAGGGTCAAAAATGACAAGGAGAAATAGAAGAATTTTGGTGGAAAATAATTATTATAATTTTCCATGCCAATTATGAAAAGTTAGACTAATTAAGGAAAATTAGTCAAGAATAATTATAGAAAAATATTTTCAAGTCTCAGAAAATTAAGGAAAAATAAGGACAATATTCCTTGAGAATTATATGGGATTATAAAATTGGTTTTATCACCAAATTGCCCTTAGAGAAATTACAAAGGAATTTAAGGGCGATTTAAGTTAGTTTAAGGTCCTTTATTTGGAAAATTCCAAATAAATATTTTTAAGGAGAATAAAATCCCAAGAAAATTCCTATGATATCTCAAGGAATTATAAGAGATTATGAAATTAAAAGAAGACCCTCAAGTATCCAAGACTTTTTCCAATTCCTCTGAAAAGTGGAAAAATCACTAAAGAGAAGGAAATTAGTTTTCCTTTTTATTTAAGTATTGGGAAATTAAATTTGAGACAAAGAGGGCAATTTGGGAAGATAAAAATGAGGAGAATAATTTATGGATCTGATAGAAAATAATTACAGAGGCTAGAGCACTGTAATTATAGAAAAGAAGTTAAACCCGGAGTAAAAGTGCACCGATAAAATAAGAAGTAGAGTCTTGCACTTTACTTGGCCCACAAGTTGCCACTTGTCAAGCCTTTAATGGATGGAAATTAAAGCTTTCCAAGTGTCAAGCTACCAATGGAGAGGATCTTGACTTTGGAATTTAATTACATTGTGATTTAAGTTAATTAAGAGAGAGGATTAAGACTAAGTAGGCTTTTGACACATGGCATAACATTAATGATGGTTGGTGGGATATTTTGTGTGCATTGAATGAGCTCATCCTCCCCCCTAAATCTGATCAATGTTTTGGCCAAGCAAGAAGAAAAGGGAAAAGAGAGAGTTCAAGGGAGAACCAAGGAGAAAGGCATCAACTTTAAGCATACAAGTGAGATCCAAGGTAAGTTTGTGGTTTTAAGTTGTTCTTTACCTTGTTTGCTTGAGTTGAATAGTTGAAATTTCTGGTTCTCTTCCTCTTTGAGTGCTGGCCGAAATGCTTCTTATGTAGGGGAGGGAGTTTAGTTGTTAGATCTTGCTAGAACACTTCAAAGTATGGTAGATCCTAGTGGTTATAAGAGTTTGTAAGTTGATTTTGAAGTGTTTTCTTTGCTATGTTGCTTGAGTTCCATTTCGGCTAAACCAAGATCTGAACCCTAGGATTTGTTTTTTAAAGTTTTGAGGCTTCTATTGTGCTCAAAATAGAAAATAGTGTAGGG